ATAATGCTATGTGCATAGGAATTAGGAAAACAACTGCAACATAAGAATATTAAGGATATTAAACTCCTAACGAACTCAAAGTGTTTAAATATGACTTTAAGGGAAACAGAGTACTTAAAAGGCTGTGAAATTACTTCATCACTGTGAATCAGTGCTAATACAGAGCAGCTACATCAGAGTGCTTTTCTACCTCAGTATCAAATTAATGGCAAGATCTAAGGACGGGCAGCTGAAGCTGAATGAATTCAACCTCCATGTGAGATTAAATTCCCAAGCTCTGTCAACATCATTTCATCAGAAGAGATGAAGCTGTGGCTTTAAAATGCATATTGTAAATATGCTTTAAAGCAGCTTTTGAATTAAACTCTCTACTTATATGTGCAGGGATTTTAATGCTTCTGCTCCTTTCCTCCCTATGGGAGCGTGGAGGGAAGAGATTTGTCTGTGTTGCCCTCAAAGTGGCCATCACAGAGTTCTTCCGTAAGGCAACAACTGTAGGGAAACCTTCTTGAGTGCTTTAGCTGATTGTCTGCAGGGATGGAGAGGATGTTTTTCCTTCACTACCCATTAGACCAGCTCAGAAATCAGTGTTATCTTCCTGAGCTTCAGAAACTGGCCATAAACAAGGTGAACAAGGGTCTACTCCCAAGGTAGACAGGAAAACCTTGTTTCTTAGGGTCTGTCTTGCTCATGTGTTTAAGTCACAGCAACTGGCAACCCTGAAATAAGAACAGTTGGTCTTCCCCAGGTTACACTGAAGGAGCCTCGGAGAATTTTTGGTCTATTTCTACGTTATGGCAAATAATTTAACTAGGTAATAAATACTACCTAATTAATCCCATGCCACTGCAAAAAACTCAGACATTCATCTTCTGGCATAAAGCTTAATGACTGAAAAGCTTTCCTTGGTTGCTCACACTGAAGGTGTCAGCAGAGTAATGACCTTGCTTGGTCATAGCCTCTTAGAAAAGTAGTCCCATTGAGGTCAGCAACACTCCTCTTAAAATAGTGCTCAGGAGGCATACTGCATGTGGATGGAATTTGCAATATTGAACCCATAAAAAAAGGATATAGTGACAGCATTTTGCACCACACTTAGTAATTCACTGTCCAGGCTTTTTCCTGTTTTCCACTGCAACATAACTGTTATTTTTAACAAAACCGTTTTGTCTAAGGCCGAATTAATTTCTTTAGAGCAATGAAGTGAGGTTTTGTTCCTATCTCTTTATTTCTGCATATGTATAAAGTTTCTGAACTTCCTCTGCTAGATAAAATTATCCATCATGAAAATACAACTAGAAAAGTGAAGAATTTTGGAATTGTTGAATATTTTTGCTTCGTTGTCAAGACACTGGAGATGTGTATTTAGATATACAAGGTATATGTGTTATGTGCATATTTATATTTGTATATTTGCATATTTAGAGATAGATATATACTACTTTGTATGCTACTGCTATATATGTGTATGTTCTACTGGGAGTTTCCTTGTGAAATAAACACTTGTTCTCAAAGGTGCATGTTGCCATAGGTCACTCATCAAATGTTATTTATTATAGACTATTTTGAGCAACTGAAATCCCAGCAGGAATTGATGTCCAAACTCTCTTACCCATTTCGGTGATGAGAGTCACAAGCAGGTCCTGAGTAAAGGATTGGCACAGGAGGGGCCTGCCAATATTTTTTTGCCAGACGTGAAGGCTGTTGTGAGGATACCTGCCAGCATTTGAAAACTGTGAATAGAGGCAACTGGAGAGGAAGTAAGTGCCTGTTTCATAATTCTGCTGGAATATACTGGGCCCTGAACCAAATTCTACATTGAATTCAGTGGCATTGCATGGGGCTGTGCAGACATTATTCTTGAAAATTTTCAGACATGGCAGGGTAGGTAAAATACAGATTCTGTCCTTTGCAATCTCTGCACTCCTACTTTGCATTGCAGAGTAGGAAAGTCCCCACATAATCTAATCACTTCAGATCTGAAGTTTACCTGTTTGTCACTGCAATTACATTCAACTCTTACATTTGCACACCCCACAGAGAGGAATTCTGGAAATACTGAGGTGCTTCAAAGTCAGTGAGCTCAGCTGAGCTTTAAGTGGACTGTGTACCAGGACAAATCATAACACTAGAGCTACGAGCAGCTGCTTACTGAAAGCAAGTTTACTTTCAATTGAGGCATTAGAAAAAAACTATATTTATGGTATATAATATACAGATATAAATACACACACAAAGTTGTCTTGGACAAAGATTCCTCTCTCTTCATCTTTTGGCTTTCCACATCTGTATTTCATGAAAATACTTTTGTGAACAGCACAATTTACAGAATTTGGCTATTTTAAAGTCTCTGTATCTCAGCGTAAGTAAAGATCGTTCTTCATATACCTGATTGTCTCCTCACTAAATTGCAAACATGGAGAGAATTAGGCCATCTTAAAAGGAAGGTTGCAGCAGTCTTCCGTGATGGAAATTATGGTAAAATACCATAAGAGCTTTGTTACCTGATTCCAGTAAAATATATTCTTTCTTTTAAATGTAATAATCTTTTTTTTTTTTTTTTGCCTTTCCTGAGTCCTATTGTCAGAATATATGTTTATTCAAACCTCGTGTGGGAGGCTGGAGAAAGTATTTGAAAATTAATACACATCAGAATACAGGCTGCCACAGTTTTCATGTGTTATGAGATGACTTTTGATTGCAGGGGTTTTTGACTGCAGAAAGGGAGTATAATTTTATAAAAGGCTCTTCCCTGTGCCATATCCTGCAGTCATTCCATGAGCTGCCACAGTCAGGATAGTTCTGTCAGGAGGAGAAATGTCAACTTGGAACTTCAGCGGGGGAGGGACGCGGTGCCTCCCACTGTTAATTGTGTTGCATTAACACCAGTACAACACTGTTAAGTGAGAATCAACCAAAAAAATGTATGAATAATTGTGAGTGAAGTCTAGGTTGAAAAGTTTCTGGCTCGTGCAGCTGCAGAGTGTGTGACCTCTCCAGGGTTTGATAGGGAAAAGTTGCCATGGGAATGGTGCAGCATTGTTTGCAGCTGACTTCAGCTTTTATTGTTGTGCTCTGATTACAGCTTTTGTTTCACTGTGAAGTATGGTTGTTACATGCCAGCTTGAAACAAAGATGTATTTACAGGGTACAGCCGAGTTCAAATGATTTCTATAGTTAGAGAGAGCACTGCTTTAAGCAAGGGAAAAAAATAATCTTTATTACTATTTTCAGAAAACACTAAGTTTTTCAGTATAAATTTGGTGTATTTTCCCAGTAAAACTGGTTAAACATCATTACTGGAAGTTGCTATTTGCCACTAGGACCGATGGCAACAGGTTCTGAGGCAGCACCTGAGACTCCAGGGCTCTCTGAGCAGGGAAGGGCAGGGGCTGATTTTCCACATGTCCAAACTGTCACAGAGTTACAGAATATCCTGAGATAGAAGGATCATCGAGTCCAACTCTTGGCCTGCATAGGACAACCCCAACACTTCCACCCTGTCCCTGAGAGTGTTGTCCAAATGCTCCTTGAGCTCTGTCAGGCTTGAGGCCACAACCACTTCCTTGGGGAGCCCGTTCAGTGCCCAACCATCCCCTGGGGGAAGAATCTTTTCCTGATATCCATCCTAAACCTTCCTTGACACAGCTCCAGCTGTTCCCTCGGGTCCTGTCACTGGTCACAGTGTGATGCTGTGCCTGATGCACTCCAGGACACAGTTGGCCCTTCTGGCTGCCTGAGTGTGATCTTGGTACCCAGTGTGCAACAAGGCAATAGTTACACACTCGAGGGAGGCACCGATCATTTATTTCAGAGTTGTGCAAGCCTGGGTGCTCAGTGGTATTCCATAAATCCAGCACACCCCACCAGACTTTCTGCACCATTATTTATACACAGAAGTTCAGAGTTAGTAACAGCTGCTCTATTAGGATTGGTTAGTCATTTCCACAGAAATTGCATAATCCCAGAAAACTTTTATGCATGCTCAGGGGAAGGGTCTTCACCAGGGCAGGGGTCTCTTTGATTGGTAGGTATGATTTTTAGTATTATAATGAAGATAGTTGAGCTGTGGACACACGGACCTTGAGTCTTCTGACAGTTTAGCAATGTACACATCAACACCTTGATTTACTGCATCTTTAAATCTTTTTAGCTCCAGGATGTCCTTGAGCAAGAGAAGCTAGCTGCTGTGAGTTCTAAGGGCGCAGTGCTAATTCGTATTCAATTTGCCATCGACCAGGACTCCCGGGTCCCTTTCCGGGGTGTTGCTCTCCGGGGTGTTGTTCCTCAGTCTGTCTGTATATCCAGGGCTGCCCTGTCCCAGGTGCAGAACCAGGAACCTGCCCGGTAAAACATCACATGGTCAGTGATTATCAGTTCACAGAAACAGAATGTTAAACGTTGGAAGGGACCTTAAAGCTCATCTCGTTCCAACTCCTGCAATGGGCAGGGACACCTTCCACTGGACCAGGTTGCTCCAAGCCCTCTCCAACCTGGCCTTGAGCACTTCCAGGGATGGGGTAGCCACAGCTTCTCTGGGTAGCAGATACCAGTGCCTCCCCACCCTCACAAGGAACACTTTATTCCCAATATCCAACAGTCCCTTCCCCGCCGGGGCCTCCCCATTAAACACAACACCACTATCACAGTAACTGGACTACAACTCCCACCATGCCCCGCGCCGCGGTGCCGCGCCCCCCGCTACCGCACTACATGTCCCAGCAGGCTGCGGGGCGGCGGCGCATGCGCAGGGAGGTCTCCCGTCGGGGTGGCGGGAGGGGCCCGATCCCTCGGCGGGACTCGGGAGCGGGGGAGGCTCCGGGCCGGGAGTGGGCCCGGCAGCGCCCGGCTCTGCTCTGCTCGCGGCTCCGCCACGGCTCTCCCTTCCTCGCGGCTCCTGTCACGGCTCTCCGCACTGCCAGCGCTCCAGTAAGTGCGGCGGCCCCGCCCTGGGTGATGCTGTTCCTCCCGCGCCTGCCCGGTGTGTGACCGCGCAGAGCTCTGTCCCGCTCCCGCCGCGCCGCTCCCTCCTCTTCCCTTCCCGTTTTCCCGGGAAGCCGCCGCCGGGCGCGGGGGCTCCGTGCGTGTGTCACCCGTGGGATCGCCCCGGTGGCGCTGTCACGGCCCCAGAGGTAAGGGCGGGGGTGGGCGAGCTCAGCGCCCGGCACGGGTCGGTCCCCTCGCAGCCCGGGGTGAAGGGGCGACGTTATCCGGGCAGACCCTGCAGGGGCGGTGCGGGCTCGGCTCGGGGATCCCAATCCCAAGCTGCAGCTCCAAGGAGGAGAGCGGTGTGGCTGGGACAGCCGGCGTGTGGCGGTGGGTTTGTTTTTAGCCTTCGGAAAGGCCCGTGTTGGAAAACTGTTGCCCGTGTTCCAGGTTAGCTGTAACCCGGGCTGGTTATTTACTGAGCCAGAGCGATTTTGAATGGATAACTTGACTATAAAAATGAGTGTTAAACTGTAACTACTGTTGTTATATCCGCGGTTTTTATCACCTGTAAAATTCCGGAGAGGCGTTTGACGTGCTGCTGGCTTAATACGGGTTTAAATACTGCGTGTGTTGTGCAGCTCCCTTAGGAAGGAGTCAGGCATGACCTTCGTAAAAGGCATTATGTTGTTGCATAAAATGTTTGCAAAGTAACATCAAGAGGACAGCAATTTCACTTCGGGGAACAGGCTGCTGTTTTGAGGCCTTTTTAAAAAAAAGTGTCTAGTTTTCACTAATCAATGCACTGTGTTTATAATCAAGCAGAATGAACAGTCTTCAAGAGGGGAAGCGGTTATTAATTTGTTAGGCTGAGCGTGTGAATTAGGCCTGAGCAAAAGGGGATTACTTATCTGAGTAAAGTTGAGCGGTAGAATTCCTTTTTAAATTTTTTTTAGGTTCTCGAGAGCTAGATCTCCCCGTGCTTCACCTTCTTACCAAAGCACAGTACTTTTAAAGAGACTACTAGATGTACAGCAAGCTGGACAGCATCAGCTTTTTTGTTGCCTTTTGACAAATTCCTTACTTTACTCACAGAGGCTGTAATGTCTGTAAAGATAAATTTTCTATTCTCTTCCCATTATCCAATCCCACACATGGCACTGGAAGACAGAGTCATATTTGATCCTGCAGTTTGGGCCTGTGGGGTGTGAGGAATGGCTTCTCGCTGTTGAATGCATCAGGGCTTGTTGGGTTTTGCATTTTTTTCTCAGATTTGTCCACTTCCTTTTTTATATTTGGGCTGTATTCATTCTAAAGCAGCACAGACACAGTCTTTACTGAGCTGGAATTGTACCTGGTAACTTTGATGATGAGTTATTCTGTCTTACTGAGTTTACTACGCTGCACTTTTAAGGATGGGGGTTTTTTTTAAATACTTTTGATTTGGAAATAGTTATGAAGGGTGATAAATTCATGTCAGTTTATTTCACAGCTGAGTTACAACTTCAAAGCAAACTCAGCAGTCCTCAAGAAGGTCTCTACATCCAGTTTTGTAAAGGAAGACTTTTAAGTTTTATTACTTGTTCTCATGAGGCTCCACACTGGATAATTTCACAGAGCACTCACTGCATTCTAGGGAGTCTTAACAGTGAGTTTGGAACAGTGAACTTATATTTTAAGTCCATTCAGTCTTGTTTCCTACTCTTGGTTATTTTTAGTTGAGGGAGTCACACAAGTAACAATACATAAAACTGTCAGGTTAGTAAAGCAAAGAAGTGTAGAAGTGCTGCTTTCCTGTTTGTCACGTGAGTAAGTGTTAAAAGTGGGCTGGAATCTCTCATGGGAGAGAGAGATGCTGAGCCTGGTTGGTATTTGGAGGAAAACTTTTTAATTCAGGGATAGGTAAGCACTGACGCAGAACGTGATAATTCAAGAAATAATACATGGGGGGTTTATGTATCCTGGATATCAGTGAATGCTGGACTGCTGGAGTCAGCTTTGCATAAAAAATGAAACTTTGCGTGACTCTCTTATGTTCCATTTGCAGTTATTAAACATTGTGATTTGATTTTGTGAGTGTAGAAAATTTAATTTTGAGTTCGTCAGTTCTAACGATACAATCTATTTCCTTAAGCTATTTCACTGCTTTATAACTACACTTGGCCTCATGTTCCACTGTGTAGCTCTGCATTTTAAGGGTGAAGTTAAAGAACAACATGCACACTGGGTCACTGACAGGTATATTGCAGTGTTTAAATATTTTAGAGGAGGAGATGCTTTCATATAAATTAGAGAGTAGGCAAAGAAGAACCAGTGTATGAAGAAAATAGGCAGCATCTTATTGCTTTTCCTCCTTCTCTCCCCCTGTATTTATTTTTCCTCAGCAGTAGTAACTGAGTGACAGAAGACAGACACACACATGGGGAATAAGGAAGGCATGTGCATGAGGAAGAGACATGACTGCAGGAGAAGGCCTTGCTTTTTCCAGGTAGCTGTGGCTTATTTCCCAAGGCAGGGGAGCTGTTTGAGCTCACATAAAGGCTGCTGTATGTCAGAGCGTTGGTGCAGAGGAGAGGAAGTGCAAAAGTCAGTTTTTATTGACTGTAACAGATTAGAAAGAACTTTAGGACATTACTGAAATGTGAACAGATCTCTGCTTGTAACACAGCCTCCAGTGCAGTGTTGGATGTAGCCCAGACTGCCAGGCCTGCACAATTCTTAATCTATTTCAGTAGATTTAGGATTCCATCGGTGTCTTTATTACTGACTGTTCCTGGTTATTTAAGCTGACAGTTATCAGAGTAAATGCAGTTCCTTCAGAGAGCAGCAAACCAGCAGCATTGGCAAGTGAGTGCATGTTCTGATGAGAAGTTCCCTTGCATGCTCTGGTGTGCACTAGGATGTGTCCAGCTGTGCATCAGTTTAGACAAACAATAACATGTGATACCAGAGGATGTATCTTTCTTGCAGGGTGGTTTTTGGCAGGTTGGTGTTTTTTGGTTTTTTTTTTTTTGACTGATAATTATGACAATAGAGATATTCTTAGAAAATACTTACTGAGGTTTGGAGCCAAGTGAACCTATAATTGCATGAAAGTACAGGATAGAAGCTTACTTCAGTGCCAAAATAGGGGAATTTAGGTAACTGGCTTTAGCATAAAACATTTTTACAAAGTGTAGCGAGTGCTTAAGAAGTCACCAGGAAACAAATTATATAAGAAACAGAACAGTCAGTACGTGTATTCTTTTGGTTTTGGGCCTAAATGCAATAAGACATGGCTAGAAGCATTGCTATCAATGATTTATAAAATTATGTAAGAAACCTAAATATCAAAATTGTAGTGAGCTTATCTGACATTTAAAAATAACGTAACTGCTTTAGAAAAATTTCCTGCTGAAGAGGTCAGAGTAGTGAGAATGGTTTGAGTTCAGGTTTTGAAGTTACCCTTTAATGCAGAGAATGACTGAAATGAATTGGAATGGGAGATATGGCAGAGCCATTTCAGAATTTTTTTCTCCTCTTGCACTGATCTCTCAAATTAGGGCTTTGAAAATAAATGGGTCTAAGGTCATCTTGCCACATGCTGTACCCTAACTGTGAGAAATATTTAGATACGTGTTCATATATGGCTGAATTCTATAAATAACACTTTCCTCTCAGTGCTAGGTAAAGCAGCAGGGTTTTGTTGCTGTTGAGGAAGGAAGCTGGTTCATTGTCTCAGCACTAGGCAGCATTTTCTCCCTCCAGGGACTTGCAGAAGCATCTAGAATGTGTAGGTGTTTCTTTAATCTTGGAGAAGGAACTTATTAAGCTTTCTGGTGCAGAACTATATGAGCCACTTACTTTTAACAGATGTTATCTGCTCGAGGAGGGAGTTGCAGGTCTGGTAGACATTTGTGGCATTCAACAGTTTAAACAGTTTTCAGGTTTGAACATATGCCTTTGCCTTAAAATCTGAATAGTTTCAGGTATTTTATGTAGAAGAAAGGTGGTTCAATGGTGAGGTTGCTGCTCTGGGACTTGGGAAACAGGTTCAGCTCACTGTGTTGCCAAAAAGCTTCCTGTGTGGCCTGGGACAAGCTGCTGCTCTGTCCCTCCGTTCTCATACTGAGACTGCAGAGCAGCAGCAGCTCTGCCTTGTGGGAGCATTGTAAGGGTATGTCAGGTTTGATGTGTCCAGTGTGCTAGTCCAGGTGTGGTAATAAAGCTCCATTGTGCTGGGAGGGAGAGGCTGGAGAAACTGCCCAAGGTAAAAACCAGGGATGAACTCCAGGCAGGAGGAGTCAAACCAGAGTAATAAGTGGGGGTAAAAAAAAGTTTTGATTGGAAATATCTTGGGTCAGTTAAAGACAGAGAAAACAAGTCCTTGAAACTTTAAGGAGCGCTGCATTGCTTTGTTTGTTTAACAAAAATTTATAACAATGCTTAAAATACCCGAACAAACATGCAAATCTTTTCTGTTATGGCTCTGCCACGCAGGGAACGGTAGCAAAGCTCTCTCTGTTCCTTTGTTGGCTGTTCTCTTCTTTGGAAGATGGTTTTAATTCTAGCTAACCATTGCATCCAAATGTTTTGGGTATCAGTTTTGTTCCTTTGTTCTGCTGGCATGATAGGCAGAATCTCTTAAATTAGGCCTGATTTATTGACTTTTCGTGTGAAAGAGGCTGAGAAAAAATAACTTCTGTACCTCCCCACTGCCCCAAGGGGGAAAAGAATTTGCAGCCACCTCTAAAGAGCAGTGTATTTAGTAACGTTATAGAGCTAAAAGTCTTTTGGATCTAAAACTCTTCTGGTGCAAATAGGCCCTTGTCATTGCTATAAATTGAAAATGTAGACTAGACAACAATTATCAAGCTTTGCAAACATGTTTTCATTGTTGAGAGTCAGCACTCCCAGGAACAGTCTGGATACTGACAGATAGGTGATAAATTCGTTCATTTAATATGTAATTGGTTTGATGTGTATGCTCTCCTTGGGTGCTTTGGTACCCACCACATTTACATGCCATGTCCAAGAAAATGTGTTTAAACTTGTTCAGACTAGTGGCTTAATTAAGTGTTCTTCTGTTAAGCGCTAGAACAGTTACATGCCAGGTTTATTGTAAGAGTGAACAGTCCTCTTAAAGCTGCACTTCAAAAGATGTTGTTAAATATATTGGTTAACTCTTTAGGGAGGCCTAAAATGACAAATGCAAACTTAGGCTGTA